TTATGATTAGGTCTCTTTGAGATCACTTTGAGTCCGGGAGTTCACCGTTAATGAGTGAACTACCCGGAAGTTGCAGTTTGAGGGTCAGATACGGCCTAGTGTGCAAAAAAATTTCGGAAATTTCAGAAGAAAAAAACGCTCGAATTTTCAAAAACGCAAATTTTCGGGAATTTCCACCGTCAAAATCCGATTTTTAAAAGCCTAAACCTGTTTTCGGAATTTCTCACACGAGGGGAACGAAAAAAAAATTCGCGAAAATTTCGGTCCCAACCCTAATTTTCCGCGTTTCCGCGAAATTTCCGGATTTATGGTCCCAAAACTTTCGAATTTCCCCAAGTTGATCTAAAACCCAAAGATTTTCGTAACCCTAATTTCCAATACTGAAAGACAACGGAAGTCCAAAAGAAAACGAAATATAGGATTTACAATAAAATGCCGAAAAACGGAATGCTGAATGGACATCAGAAACGCCGAATTTCAACATGATACTGATTCAACCCTAATTCGTGTAAAATCAGAAATCCGAAACTTAATCAATTATCGGATTAGTATCACTTAATCGGAACTCAAATAGACAGCATACCAGAAGAAAACAGAATCCGAATTATAAGTCCAAATACCGAATTGAACGGAAATGCCGAACTAAATAGAATACCGAAAAGGATTTTTTTTTTTTGCAACTTAATAGTAGTACAGCGCTGATTTGGAAGATTGAGAAAGCAATCTAATTCCTAACCAGACTTTTGTGAGCAGATCCGTTATATGGTCTGCTCCGATACCAAAACTGTTACATACTTCAATGAGTATGGGCAGAACCAAAGATCAACCAATGTAGGATGAGCATATATGCAGCGGAAGTCTGATAACCGGACTGACTCACATAGACTGACTCACACAGACTGACTCAAGAATTACTCCACACACATACAATCACGAGATGGTGGGGTCTGGGCCAAGCATAGACGATGCCCAGACCTCGTACACGCATACACAGATGAGAGGTGGGAGGAGAGACGAAGGCGGTGGGGGAGGTAGACAGCACCGAAGGTCGCMGAGATAGAATCTGATAGGTCACYGATATGGYAGTCCAAAATGTCATCCAACAAGATCAAAATGTCGAGGACAACAGGTCACCAATGTCGGGGGTACAGAGTCCAAATGTAACCGGTGTCSGAACTGTGATGCAGCCGAGTATCAACCCCAAYACTCTCCAAGTCTCCAATCCGGTAAGTAYCACAGTCTCATACCACCGAAGTCCAATACTGATCTCTGTCCAACTAGTATAAGTCTCCAATCTGAAGAAGAAGAAGAAGAAGATGGCGTCTGAGAAGGGGAAGAAGAAGAAGGAGAAGAAGAAGAAGAAGAAGAAGAAGGAGGAGCTGAGGAGGAGAGGGAGAGAGAGGGGACTGGCGATGGGAGGGAGGAGAGAAGCCTCCAACTCCCGGTACCTCAGGCGGCTATGGCCGCCGGTAACCCAGTCGCCGCTGCTGCTGCTCCGCTTGCTGCTGCTGCGCTGCGTGCTCCTCGCTCCTGCGCTAAACATAGCGCTCCAACGGCACTCTGGTGCCGACCTTACCGCACCGTATCGTATACCGGTGGGTCGATCCCTGACTGAGGCTGGACCGGTACCTTTGTACCGGTGGGCAGAGGTCGGCCTCTATGCTGCGAGGCCTGACCGTGCCCTGAACCGTCCAGATGGACGGTTCAGCCCCAACCGGCGGGCGGCAGCCTCAAGAGTGCCGCCAGGCCCAAACTGTAATGTCGTTTGGGCCTGCCCGTCGGGTCTGGTCCAAGGTGAGGCCTTTATGGCCTGTAGTACCCCCAAGGTCGGGCCTTTAGGCCCTGATGTGTCTCTCTAGCCCTAAGTCGGGTCCGGTAGGACCCGTGTGGCGTCGAAGATGTAACAGAGAGAGAGAGAGAGAGAGAGTACATTCAGGCCCCTGATAATGCCCCAATGCGTTCACCGGCTTTATTTCTTGTTTTGATAGCTTGATGATATCCAGTGCGCTGAATCTGGTTTTGGCTTGTCCTTTTTTTCGCACTTGATCACGGTTTTCACACTGTATTTTCTGGCAATGACTCTGCAATGGTATGAAAATGAGAAACTGGGGTTTGACAGTGTTTTTTCTTTTTCTTTCTTTTTCTTTCTTTTTCTTTCTTTTTCTTTTTGTGTTTTTTTTCAGGTCCTCACTACATTCGAGAAAATGTTATCTGACAAGCAATTCATGGACGAACATGTGTCAGAGAAAGGACTCCTGCAGCTGCTGTTCGATCTTCGTTTCCTTGCAGATGTCTTGTCAGGAGGCATGGACATGTCGTCTGGTGCGTCGATGTCTTCCCTCGATGAGGCAGATGGGCTTGGGGTCAACAACCTTGCTTCATTTGTGGGAGTCAAACGAACACGCCTATCCGTGCAATCAGACCCAGCGGTGAACGCCAGGAAAAAGCAGGTTGCGGCATTGTTGACGCAACTTCAAGCGAGGCTCGACCCCATCGACTGGGCCACGTAAGAAATCCCGTCCCTTCCCTTCCCCCCCCCCCCCCCCCCCCCCCAAAAAAAAAGGCCGCCAACATTCCGTTCTTTCTTGTTTCTTTTCTCGTCTTTGGGAAATGCGTCAATTTGTACCTGACCTGTGGGTGGATGGTAGACACTTGTCGGTGTTTGTGAACAGATAACGAGTTCCAATTATGATGATGGATATAATACTGCAATGACTCGCAGTAGGACTTTCTCTGATGTATCTGAGCGCAATTTGAGCGAGATTTTTGCTCCAAAAATGTACTGGTGGGAGTATTCGGCCTGAGAGGCTGAAAATGAACATTGAAAAGGAGTGAAAGAACAAGGTCTAATTAACTGAGGAATGCTTGGAAAAGCTCGAAAGCCAAAATGTATAAGGAACCTGTGCTGAAGAAACTCAGATTACGAGCACCATGGTCTTTCACTTGGTGACCAAGATGCACATGGAGAGGAGGAGATTGTCAGAACTGACAAAGCAATATATGATCACACAGCACAGTAATTCACACTGTTGAAGTCTATTTCATGATGAAAGCCCCCCTTGGTGATGGGGACAATCCATGACAATAACAATAACAGGACCCTGCTGTCGCTTGTCTCTACACCGACCCATGTGACCACCTACTCTATCATCATTCTACCCTATCCTATTCTGCGTGGAGTGCTGTTCCGCACTGTACAATGTGGAATGTATCTCACTGCAGCCCATCTCAACGACCACCAGGTAAGTACCTAGCAACTCTTCACTTATGGTTCGCTACCTCTCCACCAGTGCCCAACCTGGCCATGGCATTCGTCTTCTCCCTCAACCGTGGATGCTGCTTGTCTGGCAATGGGTGCTGCCCTCCATGGGCTAGCACCGATCAGTTTGGTGTTGAAATGGCTTCGTGACATCCTTCTATTGCAGCCCGTCTACTGCTGGTCCTGGCGTTCTCTCACAGGCCAGCTACTGCTGGTGCTGGTCTGTGGGCAGAAGCCACTTTTCCCACCACTGCAGCTCACAATGAGTGCCCACCAGCCTGTAGGATGAACTTCCTCCAAGTAAGGCACCCGTGACCTGTGCTCCGGCCTTCCTTGAATACTTTGGTCGACCTTCTGTACGGCTGGTAGGTACTGCTTTCCAGAATCTTCTGGACAAGGCGTAGTCTCCCATGCCTGGGACAGCCTGGCCGGGCCCAACCCTTGTCTGACTGGGCTTTGCTCCTTGGGGCCTGAGAGCACAGGGGCTACCGACAGATACTATCTGCTAGGAGAGCCTCAGGTCCTCACAAACGGCGAAAAATTGTGGATGTGGAAATTGGTAGTGGCATCACAGTGGAAGGTCGAGCCAACTCTGTGCAGAATCCTCAGTCCTTCCTATTGACTGGGGCATGTGAGAACTGTATTTCCCTGTACGCTCTTGCTCGTCGCTCTTTTCTTATTGTGCTTTTTTCTTCTTTCTTTCTTTCCGGATTCTTGGAAAATGCCGATTCCCCAGGAATGTCTGCAAGTGCCTATTGGGGGAATTCTATAGCAGAGCCCTAGCCTTGAAAACTATTTGGGCTGTAGTCGAGGGGGGTTGGCCTTTGGGTTACGTATCGAACTGGCCGGAGGTGGGTCGGTAAATCAAAAGTGCGGCCTCCATTTTTGCAAGGCTGAAAGTTTCGGTCGGGCATGCCTGCAGTGGTGGTGATTCCGTTTTCTTGTTGGAACGAAAGCAACGACGTGCTGCCATGATCACCACCACCCATACTTGCAAGCGCATGCTGTGCGGGCAACTGCGCATGTACGGTGCACTAACACACAGGTACCATGGAGGAAATAGGCACTTGCACCCCTTTTGGAAATTTGTTGTGGCCATTGTGTTTCCTCCTATCGGTCAAAAGACTGATGTACCGATGCTCTATCTGGTGCTATTTCTTGTGCCCCATGGGCCAAAATGAAGAACTTGTAAAACTGTACTAGAAAGTTAGGAGCCGTTCCACATCTCATACGCTCTTCTGTATCTATGAATGCAGCACAACAAAAAAAATACTGCTAGTACGGTGCTTGGGAAGGTGCCGTGCTGTGTGCCCCACCGCACCGTATGATGACGCACACTGCACACTCTTGAACCACCATGTAGCTGTGCAGACTGTTGTCTCTGATGTGCTTGTTGACAAAGGGGCATGTATGCCTGTGCGTTTTGCCCTATGTCAGGTTTTTTCACCTTTAGGCTTTGGGGAAAATTACAAGACCAGATGACACTCATAAGTCAGGAAATGCTCCAAGTAAGAAAAAAAAGAAGACAAGACCAGCTGTCTGACATCGTCAGGCTGCTTTAGACAGGGAGACCCTGTCATGTCTGTTTTGAGAAGAGCAGCTGTATGCTCATCGTACATGTGGCACACCTGCGTGGTGTGCCATGCGGTGCAGTGCGCAGATGTGTGATGTGCGCGCAGGTGCATTGCACTGGGGGCACGCGACTGCCCCCGGCGCGCATGCACAGGTGCTTTATCTTTCTTTTTTCTTTCATGTTTGTTTGTGTGTGTGTGTGTGTGTGTGTGTGTGTGTGTGTGTGTGTGTGTGCGCACGCGCGCGCGCGCGCGCGCGCGAGAGAGAGAGAGAGAGAGAGAGAGAGAGAGTCCACCGTAGCTTGGAAACATTTGACGACACTGTTCCCACTGTTTCACGAACTTCGACGAGGGTGCATGGTGTCAGGAAATGAAAGATAAATTCAACCCTCATCGTGACCTTACTGGACCTGAAAGGCAGCTAAGATACAGTCAAGGATGCAACGAGCCCTCATTGTAGTTCACAATTTGTGACCTTTGTGTCCTGTGATGTTTCAAGCTGCGTTTCAGGTCTGATACAGCCATGATGAGAGTGCGTGGTGTCAGTCAACGATAGAAAATCTCCACCCTCATAAAAATTCTCCTCCCTTGTCATCCGACTCGAAAAGAAGCTTGGATACATTCCAAGGCCAAGCACACTCTGCTTGAGGTTCACGTCAAATCGTGAACTTCAACAAGAATGTGTCCTTATTCTCGATCTTGTGACACCTCTGTCCTCTTGATGTTTCAAGCTGCCTTTCCAGGTTTTATACAGTCATGATGAAGGTGTGTGGTGTCGGGAAACGATAGAAAATCTCCACCCTCATCATCATGACAGTATCTGACTCGAAAAGCAGCTTGGAGACACTGGAAGCCAACACGCCCTGGTTGAGGTTCACGTGAAATGGTGAACTTTGATGAGAATGTGTCCAGGCTGCCTTTTTCAGGTCTAATACGGTCATGATGAGGGTGCGTGGGACATTTGGAACAGTACGGAGAAGATTGAAAAAGAAAACGGACAAAAAAAGGAAAAGAAAGCTACGTATCTGTCACTGCTGTTATTTGGTGGTGGAGGGGGGACAATGAAAAGGGAGGCGCAGCTACTGGCAAAATGCTCGGTCTTTGCGTTAGCCAGACCCCCACCGGTGGCCCCACCCCAGCCTTGACCACCATGGTTGGGGCGGGGGGCAACATGCATCCCCTCTGATGGCTGGAGGGAGACAACAAAGCTATGTTTGCAGGGGTCCCCTGTATAAGCCTTAGGAGTGGTGGTAGGTAGGTAGTGAAGGTGAATTGAAAGATGATGAAAGATTTGAGAGAAGAATGTAGCCTGGTTAAAAAAAAAAGAAAAAAAGAGCACACCCCCTGAAGTGAGGAGTGCAGAAAGGATCTCATGCGCATCATACTCGAGGCGCATCACATGCGGCCGATAGAGCACGCACGTCGTGCCGTGCACTGTCCGCCCACCCTGCATGGCTCGCTCGCGGTGCCGAGCACCGTGCACGACTCACATGTGGTGCCACACACCCGCGGCACCCCCTTAAAATGAGGGTGCATGAAAAAATTGGAAGGGCCGGGGTTTGGTTGCCCGCCCCTCCCCTTCGTTTTCACCTTTTTATCAGCTTTCCTTGCTTTCCGCTTCTCATTTTTTTCATCTGCTTTCCATTTTTTGAATAATAAACAAGCGGAGCAGCCTCTATTCTTATTGTGGCAGTGTTCAGGATTTGGACTCATGATCCGTTTACTCAAAGTCCGCTTCTCGTGTTTTCATCGGCTTTCCTTTTTGCCTACCCTTGTCATCTTCCCTCCCCCCCCCCCCCCCCCCTTCTTTTCTGTTTCCCTCACCTCATGCATCTTTAATCAGCTTTCCTTGAGCATTGTGTTTGCCTGTCCCTTGACTCCCGTTCCATCCATCCTTTTTTTTTCTTTTTTCTTTTTTTTTTGTTCTGTTACTTTGTCCATCATCTGTTCATCGCTGCTGAATCTCTTTTCTCGTTTTTTTTTTTTTCTTCCGTGGTGGCTGCAATCTCTGCCGTCTTCTTTGCGTTTTTTTTTTCTCTGAGGACAAGAAAGGTAAATTTAGTGGCTTGAAAAAAAAGAATAGAATTCTGGTTTTTGTTCTAATAAGGACGAGGATCTGGGTCCTCGGCAGGCCTAAGGGGTGCTGATACAGGTGTGCCCGCCCTAAGTGAAGGCGGGCCTAACAAATCGCGAGAGGCCATCAGCTGGTCAAGGGAAACCCAGCCGAGCAGCAAAGATATTCCACGGACTTCCAGGCCCGGAAATGCAGGTCCAGGACAAGAATCGCAGCCTCATACACGGACAGTTGGGAGGCCCAACCGAACGAGGCCCAGCAGCTGCAACGGAGGCACAGCCTCCTGGGGCCTACCGGAAGTTTCTGGGCAGAGGCCCAGGCCAGTCCGGCCGCCGGGGCAGGCAGACTCTTTCCATATAGGAAAGAGCTCACTGCCTGGGCTCTCATTCGGGCACTTGCATGCTAGCGGCAGCACTGCTGGCGCGGACGCTCATGGGCTGCTGCTGGAGCTGAGAGGCAAGGTGCAAGCACGTGCGGTTGTGTGTGAGTGAGGGCGCTGCTGAGGGCAGCGCCATAGCCCAGCCTTCATAGCTGGCGCGGGTAGGAAGTTGGCTGGGCGCGGAGCACCAAGTAGCGAGAAGGGACTGGACTCTTATGTTGGT